CCTTGGAGAAGGACATCATGCTTGGGAGGGTGGAGGGATGGTGCAGGAGGGAAGGCCCTCTATGAGGTGGATTGATTCAGTGACTGGGACAATTGGGATGGGAGAGTCAGAGACAGTGCGATTGGCACAGGACAGAGCGGAGTTTAGGGCTGTTGTACATAGGGTCCCTATCAGTCGCAAGCGACTCGATGGCACATAACAGCAACAACAACAACAACAACAAATCCACTCCACTGTTGGAAAACTCCGAGGCAGAGAAGGAAACATAGCCTGTTCAGCAACACAAGACTGACAGAGCTGGTGCAAACTGGATGAGTCAGAGGCACAGCCAACTTTGACTTACTGGACTTTGAAGGGATCCAGGATGAAGAAGCCTCTGGGCCTAATGGAGGACCATCTTCTATGTGGTTGTGAACACAAGAGTGTCCTTACCTTCCAGAGCCTCTTTCAGTGGAGTAATGAACCGCTGGAACTCCATTTCTTCCATGGCTGAGAGGACATCAGTGGCATTGAGAGTCTTGCGTTTCCCTTTCATTGCGAAGTTGTTGGCACTGAAAGAGGAAGAGGGGACACCGTCTTTAGGGCTGTCAGACCTCCTCTTGACCCTTTGTGATGGGCTCCTTGATTTGGGATGACTCAAAGACCTATATCATGTATATACATGATACTGCTAGATCCTTCGTTCCCCCTTCATTGTGAACGATTAGAGCAAAGTTACTCTGTTGTTGTTTCAGATCCCACGGGAACTGAAGGGAAACCATAAACGTCTGAGCGTCGTAGGCTCCAGGTCTGGGACTCCGAGGGTCTCTTTACCCCCGAATGCTTTAACCCTCGCTGATCTCTCACCAGGAAGTGGCATACAGCACGAAGACACTGGCGGCGCGGGAGATGGCACTCCGGGCCTCCTTGGAGATATTGACCCCGTCCGGGAGCTGCGAGAAGAGGGGAGGTGAGCCAAGTTGCAGATCCAGGACCTGTTTCCCTCCTGCCCACGCGTCCGCCCACAGCCCGCTTGCTAGCCTGGCCGGCTCACCGCCTCCTTGATGATCCGGGTGATGACGGCATTGGGCAGATTTAGATCCTCAGGCCTCTCTGCCATTGCCGCTCCCGCGGCCTCCTCTTTAAAATTCGTTCAGGCGTCCGGACTTCCCGCGTCGATGCGGCCGGACCCAGTGAGGCTTCCGTCCCTTTATACGCGGCTCACGCTGTGTCCCATAGTGCCTTGCGCAGCATTCGAGCCCCACCCCAGTCCGGCTTCCGCCGTTGGTTGTCGGTGCGTCCAAACTTTTCATCCATCAGTGGTTTTGGCCCTCTGGGTTTTTCTTCAGGTCCTACAGTGCCCCGCGCACTCCGCCCCAGCCCTAGTTCATGTCTTCACCCCACCCACATAGTTGAGCTTTCTCAGTAAGTTTGGTTGGCTCACGGGAGCTTCCGTACGTTTCCCACAGTGCTCCGCGCCACTGCTAGGCGACGGCGAGGCGGTATACCGAGGCTGAAACTGAGCTGGCTGGGGGAGCCTGCAGACTGTCGCTTCCCCGGGAGTCCCTCTGCACTCCTAATTTTGGATTCCTAGCGGGTTGAAATATAGTTTAGATTCGGGCAATATCGGCTTTCGGACGAAAGTGGAGGGTCTTTTTAACTATGGTGGCGCTGATGTTAATTTTTTTCGCGCCTTCCAACTTTGTAATGCTCATACTAAAATAACTAATATCTAGAGTTTAGTTTATTCATTGCAAACTACTTTTGCTGATAGCGCTAATGCTGTCAGTGTCGAGAAGAGTGTGCCTCCATCCCGAAGTTAAGTTCTCATTTGTCAGATAATCAAAGGCCCGGAAGCTGTCGGGTGTACGAATAAGGAAACCGACAGACAAATTGAAAAACAAAACTCACGGAATCGTATTTACTTTTTAGTACATTAAATTGTTTGCCCTACATCTCAGACAAAAAAAACATTACCATGATTTTGTTTTAACGTACACGTTAAGCACGTAAACATTTTCTTAATTTCTACTTTTATTGTGTGTTGAAACCTGATCATAAAAGCCAGCCTTTCGTTTTCCTGCTTTTTATAGAGATTTGAGTACAAAGAAATATTTCTTACAATGAGAGAAGCAGAACAAATAAGATCAGAAATGGCAACAAACGACTTCCTTTAAAGGCTGTAGAGGCCTGGAGGAGGGGGGGACACTTGATAGAACAGACCAGATTTAAAGATGTTGGAAAGTAATCAGCTGCGGTTAGTTGCTATGCTGGAATTGGGCTCAGTGTTATCAGATACTTTGATTTTAAGAGGAGCCAGAAAGTGGGCATTTCTGACATCTCGATTTTTAAATATTGTCTCTCTGAAGGCCAACCAAAACTAGTCACAAGATACAATCCTAGTACAATAGTTTACTATCTTTGTTCTAATTTATAAACTCCTTAGAACAGTGATGCTGTCTTCTTGATTACTATTTTCAGTCAGTAGGTAGGTGTTAGATAAAGAAGAAATAAGAACTACTCGTACTGAGCTATTAGAGTAGTGGTGATTTATCTGTAGGTTTCTTAAGAGAGGTAAAGTTGATAATAATTAGGCACCTATCATGCACTACAGATGTTATTAATTATTTAATGCTTCTATGCGGGAGAAGGATGGGCAATCTCCTGTGATTAGCACGAGGTGATTAGCATGAGTTTAAACTCACAGGAGGGTCAACTATGGATTGGTTCCGACTCCATGGTACTTGATAATAACAACACAATGCTTCCTCGGAGATCATTTCCCCCTACTTTATGTGAAGAAATATGCTCAGAAAGACCATACAAGACCCAAGATCATACAGCCAGTAGATGAGAATCCTTTGATATAACTGCATCAAAGCTATTGCTTTGCTGTTTGAGCATATCCATGAATTCCTGGTGGGTATTTAATTGCTTGCTTGGGACTTGGAATGCATTGGAAAATGCAATATAACCTTCCAAAAGAAGGGTATGTTTTGTGTTTTTTAGCTACCCACGTCACCAAGTCACTTCTGTTTTTTAAAGAAATAGGGATATCTTCTTCAATGATTATGAAGGGAAAAAGAAAAGGATGCTAATATTTCTTGGGTACTCTGGGCCTGCTTCTGTAAAAGATTACATCCTAGGAAACCCTGTGGGACAGTTTCACTCTGTCACACAGGATTGCTGTGAATTTGAATTATCTCACTGACACCTAATATCAACATGTGTCAGACCTCTTAATAGTCATTAATGAATTTTAATAACCCTGTGAAATGGGTTTATCCTTATTTTACAGGTTAGGAGACAGGTTAAGTACCTGGTCGTTCAAATATTACATGGTCAATTAGGCAACCTCCTTAAGTCAAACTCTTTCTATTCTACTTCATGCCAAAATGTTTTTATACTTGTCATCAAGTAATTAATTATCCTATGATGACTATCTGTATGTACTCAATAGAAAAGCTTTACGCTTTGAGACCAAGTGGAGATTTGGACTGCACGGTTAATACCTAATGCTCTCTAATCTGGTTGTTTCTCCAGCAGGACAGAAAGCTGGAAGGTTGGCTTTTGTCCTAAACCATTTGTAGATATGAACTTGCCAGATGAAAGCCAGTGGGATGAAACCACCTGTGGCTCTGCTCTCTGTCAGCATCCACAGTGCTGGGCAACTACGCGCAGGATTGAGAGAGGCCACCCTCGTATACTGGGTTCACCTTGCAAAACTCTCCTGGAAACTGAAGGTTACTTAGCTCATCCCTGTCTCCTTCCTCACAAGGTCCTACAGTTTGCCCTCTTTCTCTAGGTGATCTTTTAATATTTTATCCTGATCTTTTTTTTTCTCTCCCCCAGATAAACTTCCAGCACTTACCGTGGTAAATATTTCAAATTCTTCACTCTTGCCCAAGAGGCTTGCTAAGCATCATTCACCGGGATTTACCTTCAATGAAACTCATTCTTTATTGCCCTGGGCTTCAAAGTTTAAACCCAAATTTCAAGGCAGGTATATTATCATTGAATTTCCCCATAAGAGCTTACTATTAAAAAAATTCTGGCTTTTGTGGCTTTTCTTACTTATGAAGAGTACTTTGAGAATTATGAATTTCAAAAAACCAAACCAGAAAAACACACTTTAGCAGTGATAAATAGGGAATGGGGGAAATGAAGATTGTCTTTTTTTTTTTAATTTCAGATGTGAAAGTGTAAGTTCCTGAAAGCAGAAAGAATGGCTCTTTGAACCTCCTGTAAAGTTTAGGCTCCCAGTTAGTGCTTGATGCTATATGAAGCTAAAGTCCTCCTATTTATGGGAAACTTAAACTTTAAAAGTCCAACTATCCTGTTGTCTCTAGTCAAAGCACTCTTGATGGGCTTTGGAGTGAACCCCTGCCTCCATTCCATCTCCCCTCCCCCCATTTAAGCAGCACTCAATTATTGATTAGACTAAAGGTGGCATAGCATCAGGATGGATGGTGAAGAGATTGAGATTGTACGCAGCGTTAGTTTGCTTGGCTCCACAGTCAACACTCTTGGCACCAGTAGCCAGGAAATTAAAAGGCGCATTGCCATGGGAAAGTCTGCTGTTAGGAACCTCTGCAAAGTACTGAAGAGCAATGGTGTCTCTCTGGAGACTATTCGCAATCACTTGTTATGCATCAGAGAGTTGAACAATGACCAAAGAGGATAGAAAGAGAATTGATGCCTTTGAGCTGTGGTGCTGGAGAAGAGTATTGAGAATACCATGGACTGCTAGGAAAACAAACAGATTCATCCTGGAAAGGGTTAAACCGGGTGGCTCCTTGGAGGCAAGGATTCTGAGGCCCCGTCTAACATACTTTGGACATGTTGTGAGGAGAGACCGGTCCTTGGAGAGGGACATCATGCTTGGGAGGGTTGAGGGACGGCGCAGGAGGGGAAGGCCCTCTATGAGGTGGATTGATTCAGTGACTGGGATAATTGGGATGGGAGTGTCAGAGACAGTGCGATTGGCACAGGACAGAGCAGAGTTTAGGGCTGTTGTACGTAGGGTCGCTATGAGTCACAAGCGACTCGACGGCACACAACAACAACAACAACAACAACAAAGATGGTATGAGGAACCCTGGTGATACAGTGGTTAAGCACTTGCTGGCTGATAAAGATCCTGTCTTCCTGGTGGACTTCATTTTGACTTCTTCCCCACCTTGTTCACTAGAATCCAGCCATACTTGTCTTTTGTTCTTGCTACTTTATACTTTCTATTTAGGGCTTATGCACCTGCTATTTATTTTTTGTGGAAATCCCCTAGATCAGGATTTCTTAACTTGGCATTTGACATTATGGGCCAGGTAATTATTTGTATTTTGGGGACCTGTCCTTTGCATAGTGGGCCCTGATGATGCGGTAGTTAAGTGTTAAGCTGTTAACTGAAAGGTTGGTGATTCCAACTTGCTATCTGCTCTGTGGGAGAAAGAGGTATCAGTGTGCTGTAAAGATTTACATTCTTGGAAACCCCAGGCGGCAGTTTTACTCTGTCCTGTGTTGTTGTTGTTATTAGGTGCCATCAAGTTGATTATGACTCACAGCGACCCTATAAACAACATACTGAACTCTGTCTTATCCTGTGCCATCTTTATCATCTCTGACATACTTGAGCCATTGCTGCAGTAACTGTGTCAACCTATCCTATTGAGGGTCTTACTCTCTTTCTCTGATGCTTCACCTTTCCAAGCATGATGTCACTCTCCAAGATAAGACTCTCCTAGCAACAGGCCCAAAATATGTGAGGTGGTGGTGTTTGTTGTGTGCCATTTAGTTTCAACCGACCTATAGCTGACCCACCAACAGGTTTTTAGAGGCAGTTAAGTGCAAGTGAGGAGATTGCCCATTCTTCTTCCGCAAAGCAGCTGGTGGATTAAAACTGTGTGCCTGCAGGATTACAGCTGAGCTTCTTACAGTTAGGCCACCAGAACTCCTTATGTGAGATGAAGCTTTGTCATCTTTGCCTCCAAGGAGCATTATGCCTGCAGTTTGTTTCTCCAAGATACATCTGTTTGTTCTTTTGACAGTCCCTGTGATATTCAGTACTTTTCTACACCACCACAGTTCAAAGGCATCAGTTCTTCTGTTATCCTTACTTACTGTCCAGCTCTCAGGTGTATAGCAAATGATTGAAAATACCATGACCTGAATCAAGCACACCTCAGTCTTCAAACAGACATCATTTTCCTCAATAATTTTGAGAGGTCCGCGATGGAGTAATTGCCCAGTGCAATGTCTCCTTATCTTTTGACTGCTGTTACCAAAGATGTTGGTTGTGGATCCAAATAAGGTGAAATTGTTGATAATTCCATTTTTTCTCCATTTATTATGATGTTGCTTATAAGTCCAGTCGTGAGGATTTTGCTTTCTTAATGTTGAGATGCAATCCATATTGAAGACTGTCTTTGATCTTGTACAGCAAGTATTTGAAACCCTCTTCACTTTCAGCAAGCAAGCTTGTGTTATTTGTACCACTGACTGCTAATGAATCGTCCTCTGATCCTGATGCCATATTCTTCTTCATAGAATCTGGCTTCTCAAATGATTTGCTCAATTTACAGATTGTACAGATTGTATTCTGTCCTATTCTGTTACTGTAAGTCAAGATTGGCTTCATGGCGGTGGGTTTTTTGCGTGGTTTTTGTTTGAGGTTTTTTGTTTTTTGTTTTTTTTAAGATCTTGTGCATTGCAGGGCTTTAGCTTCACCTGTTTGAAGTCAGTAGGCACTTTCACTCCTGCTGTGACAGATAAAAATGCCTCCGTATATTGTCAAGAGTTTCTTGGGACAGGGGAGATTGGCACTAGTTGAGAAATACTGCCTTAGAAGCTTGCAAGGCTAGCTCCTTCTTGTTATTTGGATTTAAGAGTTGCTTTTTTACAGAGAGCTTTCTCGACCTTCAAAGTTTCTCTACACCATCCCTAATATTTAACCTTGTTCTATTTTCTTCAGTCTCTGTGATCTGAAATTACTAGTACTTAACCTTGTTTTATTGTCTTTCTTCTTTATGATCTGAAATTATTTTGTTGATTTGCTGGTTTGTCTATTGTTGGGCTTCATTAAAATAGAAATTCTATGAGAAAGGGACTGTGTTTCTCTTGTTCACTCCTATTCCCGTGCCTTCAGAAGTGCATGGCACATAGTGAGAGCTTAAGGAGTACTTACTAAATGAATGAGTATTTCTTCCTCTGCTGACAAGGTTGAGTTTCATCCTTTATCACTACCCATGGGTGCTTTCTTTTCCAGACTACTCCAGTCCTTATTGTACGTGGCATGTTTATTGATGTTTTATGTCTATTCACTTTGCTCACCTATGTATTGACAGGAGCCATGACTGACTTCATTTAGTCATTCATTCAGTTTACAGATTTATCTCCATATGGTCACTATGCTGGACACTGGGAATATAACAGTAAACAATATATTCAGTTTTTACCCTTAAGGAGTTTCAATCTATTTGGGGAAGCAGAAAATGGACTAAGAGGGGACTGGCCAATGTGACAAATGGTGTGAAAGGAGTGTGTCTTGCTGTGTGAAAGCATACAGGTAGGATCTTATCCCAGGGTACTCCCTTCTGTAGAACTGGCATCTATGCCTAGACCTGAAGTTTGGGCAGCCTGGTAAAGTGGAAGTGTGGCAGGAATAGAATTCCAGACTGTAGAAATAGTATGTGAAAATGCTTGGAGGTGAGAGGAAACTGAGTATCAGGAAAATAGTTCAATGGGTCTGGAACTTAGAATAGGCATGGGAGAGTGATCAGGGATGAAACCAGGGAATGAGTACAAACTAGGGATCTGTATGACAAAGGACTTCATATGCCAGGCTGAGGAGCTAGGCTGTTACCTTCTGTCTCTCTGAGATATTCATGGATTTATTAATTTGTTTCATTTTTGAACATCTGTATCATGGGTGCTTAATAAAGTATTGGGGTTTTTTTGTGTGTGTGTGTGTTTTTTTACCCAAGAGAGCATTTGAGTGAGCCAAGGCATGTTAGGTGCCAGGCTTTTGTTTATGGGCAAGAAAGGGGAGTAGAGTGGGAGATAGGAATCAAAACATGGGTAGACCACACCACCCTGCCCACCATAGGCAGCGAGGGATGTCAGCAGATGAGTTTCTCTCCAGGTACCACCTGCAGGTGGCACAGGAGTGGCCCTGGGTCAGCAGCAGTTACACAGGAGGCCCTGCTGTCCTAATAAACATTTAATAATGGTAATATGTACAGTGAATAAGAATGACAGAATAAGAATTGATACTTGAGTTGTGGTGCTGGAGAAAAGTGTTGAACATACCATACTGCCAAGAGAACCAACCAGTCTGTCTTGGAGAGGGTGAAACCAAGTTGCTTTCTGGAGGCAAGGGTTTTGAAACTCCTTCTCACATAATTTGGGCATGTTGCCAGGAAGGGGCTAGTCCTTGGAGAAGGATGTCATGCTTGGAAAGATGGAGGGACAAGGCAGGAGAGGAAGACCCTGGATGAAATGGATTGACACAGTGACTTGGGCTTTAGGGGCAAGTGTGTCAGAGACAGTGAAATTGGCTCAGGATAGAGCAGTGTTCAGAGTAGGCAATTCAATGGCACCTAACAAAAACAGCAACAATGATGATGCAGCAAAGATGTAAGTTATGAATTCAATTTGATGCTATAAATAGTTCTGAAATGTTTGTAGGGTACAGTGTCTCTGTGAGCTATTCCAGGACAAACAAGCAAGCATGCAACTAAGAGATGGTAAGGCCTTACAATTTTGTAAAAAATTTTTTCATTGCAAATACCTTTTATTTTTTTTAAAATTAATTTTAATGAATATTTACAGAGATTTTGGACTTCCATACATTCATTGCTGCATTTCTCTCCCTGCCCACCCTTCTCCCGCCTCCAGTTCGCTCTTCTCTTTGAAAAGTAAAAGAAAAATTCTTTCATTGGTATAGAATTCCCTCCCCCCGGCCCTGAGTACACTCCACTATGGAACATTCATTCTGGACTCTTGTCATAACCATAATATCCAATCGTATATCGCTTTCAAACAATTCTCTCCCTTATCTGTTTCAATGCAGTATACATAATTTATCCAGTTATTCTCAGTCTTACTCCAACCCTGATGTCAGTCCCGTTCTACAAGCACATTCAGCACCTGTCCTTTTGTGACTGAGGTATTTCACTCAGCATAATGCCCTCCAAGGTCACCCATTTTGAATAATATTGGATGAGTTCCTTGTTTTTCAATGCAGTGTAGTATTCCTTTGTGTGAATATACTGCAGCTTCTCTATCCATTTGTTTGTTGATGGGCACTTAGGTTGTTTCCAACTCTTTGCTATTGTGAACAAAGCCACAATAAACATGGGTGTGCATATATCTGGTTGGTGGCAGTTATGGTTTCTTTAAGGTATATTCCCAGTAATGGAATTGCTGGGTCAAATGGTATCTCTATTTGCAACTTTTTGAGAGAGTGCCATACAGCCTTCCATAGCGGTTGCACCATTTTACACTCCCACCAACAGTGAATAAGGATTCCAGTTTCTCTGCAACCTCACCAGCTTTTGTTGTTTGCTGCTTTGTTAAATTTTGCTATTCTTACTGGAGTGAGATGATATCTCATAGTTGTTTTGAGGCCTTACATTTTTTTTATAACTATTTGAGCCCAAGGCTTTCTATAGATGATTACAAGGATTTTTTAAATTTATAACTAAACTTATTGTCTCTGTGAGTCTTTTATATATATATTTTCATGTTGGAAAACTCGTTTTTTTAGGACTCAGTGGTATGAAGACTGACAAGGTCAGCAAGACTAATATACCTCCAAAAGTAAGTCACAGATTGTAAGAAGCACCTTATCAGCATGTCTCTTTACTAGTGAAAATAACATCTTTCTCCTTTATTTTGCTTTTTTCTTTGGAGGACTGTGAGATGAGTAATGATGGTGATGCTGTTCTTAATGACTTTCTTTTTACCAGGCCATTACCACATACTAGTGACATTTTAATGCTCTCTTGTCTCCAGAAATCCCAGATCTAGTTCAGATTGATTTATGGAGGTCTGGCATGGATAATTGATCATCTTCTGTCTTTATTCAGCAAATAGTATGTTCAGCCACTGACTGAACACTGTCATCTCATAATAAAAGAAAGGTAGAATGTTAGACTGCTATGTCTAAAATAGACTTTAAGATTATCTAGTCTGATGACTTTCAAACTCTTTTAGCTATGACCTGAGATGAGAAATAGATTTTACAACAAAAAATACCATAGAACAATCTTTCCCTTCACCATGAGTGATGTCCTCTTATATTTTTAGCCAGTCTTAATTTATTCTAGTTAACTTTTAAGCAGCAGGAGTGGCAGTCCATCAAATTAGATTTAACAGTCCATGAAAAAGTTGCAGTTGAAACATCAAGACTGTTACTATGGTCTTTCTCATTCATCTTGCACTTGAGGAAACCAAGGCCCAGATGGGAAGCTGTTATTATTGTTGTTATTGGGTGCCACTGAGTCAAGTATGACTCATAGCAACCCTATGAACAGTGGATCTGAACCCCATCCTATTTCTGTGCTGTCTGTACATTTCCTGACGCACTATAGAGCTCCTTGCAGCAGTTACTGTCCACCTGGTTGAGGGTCTTCCTCTCCTTTGCCGACCTTCCATCCTTCCAAGCATCATGTCCTTTCTTAGCAACATGACCAGACTATGTAACCACTGGGAGTGAGGGTAGACTTCACAGGTTCAGGCAGTCTTCCAGTTTGCCAAGTCTGCTTATGACTTCAGACTTCAACCAAAAGTTCAGGGTGTCCTGAATTGTATATGTATATGGATATAAAAACAGAAACAGATATGTTTTTGAAGACTGTCTGCAAAGACATTTTTTTTTTGGTTTATGAATTCCCTCTCTACTCTCAAACTACCAATTTTATCATCTGCAGGGGCTACAATGAGAATGCTGAATGAGTCCCCAAACCTGGCCCAGCCCACTGCCCTCAGGTTCAGTTTACTCCTGATGTTATACCACTACCCTGTTGTTACAGAGAAACAGTGGAGATTATTCGTGTACATACATTTACTCTTGCTAAGGTACCGCTGATACTTGTAGAACTAGTTTGGAGCCTATTATGAAGGCCTTTTGGGGACGTGGAACGTCTTGTTACTTCTGAACCACTGAATTCTGCCCTTAGCCTGGTGTTGAAAACCCTCAGGAGTTTGGGACCTCTAAGCTGCACATAGGCTTTATCTCTTTCTCTCTTTTAGGTTTCAGTGCTGAATTTGAATAAGACACTGCTTCCCTGCCACCATGATGTTAAAAATACGGCTGTAATCTGGATCCCAAAAGAACCCAAGAAGCATAGGAAGTAAATATCATATTTAGGAACTTGGAACCTTCAATTCTTATTTGCTACATATCCCTGAGCATTTCCTCTCCAGGCCCCCCTTTTGTGATCTTTCTTTTAGCTCCCTTATTGCAGTAACAGGAGGCAAGCATCTGCTTTTAGTTACACTGGAATTCTGGTTTTCTTCAGATGATGATATAACTATATACAATTATGACTTTGATTGTAATTTTCATATTGTGCAACTGTTACCAATATCCTTTTCCAAATTCTCCCACTAACTGAAATTATTCACTAGTGATGGGGATAGGTTTGTCAGAGACAATAAGGGATAGAGCAGGGTTTAGGGCTGTTGTACAGAGGGTCGCTGTGAGTCATAGGTGACTCAATGGCACATAACAACAACAACAACAACAACTGAAACTCAGTAGTCCCTAAACACTGGCTTCCCCTTCCTCCCACCTTGATAACCACCTGTAAACATGGGTTGCAGTGCAATGTGCTGTAGTCTATGCCCCCACAGCTCCTGATCAGGTTTGGTCTCCATACCTTTACCTACTGCACATAAGTGGAACAAGACAATATTTGCCCTTTTGTGACTGGCGTGAATGTTTTCAAGGTTTATCTGTGTTGTAACATGTATTAGGACTTTATTTCTATTTTTGAGTAATAGCCTTTTTAAAATAGAAGAGCTTTATTGAAGTATGATTCAAACAATTAATTTAATTAGTGATTCTTAGTATATTCACATATATGTGTCACTACCACCATAATCAATTTTAGAACATTTTTGTCATCTCTATAAGATATCCTGTGCCCATTAACACAAACCTGTAGTGACCCTCCATTAAGTTCAGAGGCATTAATCTTTATGGGAGAAGATTTTCCATCTTTCTCCCAGGGATCAGATGGTAGATTTGAATCACTGTCTTTTGGTTGTCAGCTGGACATATAACACATTTTAACACCAGTCTTGCCTAGGTAACCAGTAATCTACGTTTTATCTCTCTGGATTTACCTAATGGAATTCTTTGTTAATTCAATGGATTTATTAATAAATTATTACTTTGTTAATTTGATGGATTTATTAATAAATTATTACTTTGGATGTTTTTTATGTGAGACATTTTTATGCCAAATTCTACATGACAATAAGTAGCACATGAGATAAAGTCAATGTATTTGCAAGATTTGGCAAGGAAATAAATGCTTTCTAGTTATTTGTTAGAACATTCTGGTGGCCTACTCGGTAGGGAGCAATGTCTTCAACCCAAATGCTTGCAATTCGAATCCACCAGCTACTCCTTGGGACAAAGATGGTCAGTCTCCTCCTGTGTAGTTTACCGCCTCTGAAAATCCCTCGAGGGTCAGCTTAAGATGGTTCTGACTCAACATTTAAGAGTTTTAGGTGGTGTTGGGTTTGGGGTGTGTGTGTGTTTTAATAAATTATTTGTTTATTAGTTTTTATTATTCTCAGCAACTGGTGACACGTTCTCAAGGGAAGCACATGGAACTGCAATCTGAAATCCCCAACCCTACTACAGTGTAACAACATGACCAGCGTATAGGGCTTGTGTACAAGGCAGAGGCAGAGCATTACAATGATGACTTTGGGTGAAGTCTCATTTACAACTATTGGAAGAAAGAGTTGGTTAATCTTTTGTGATGACTATCAGGTTCTTGTTAAGCAACTGCTTACTTAAAAATGATCAGACTTAATAATTTCTCTTCATTCTTTGACTTTTTTTTAGTGATCTTGTGAATAACTCTTTGTGTGGTTTTTGGAGGAGTGTGTATGTACATACATGGCATTAACTAACAATCAAACAAAATACTCAGTTTATTTCCTCCCTGTACAAAAAGCCCCAAGATCTGTGCGCTGTGACTAGTATGTCAGCTTCATGATTTAATGAGAGACTGAGATTCCTTCCAGTTGTTGTTGTTGTATGCCCTCAAGTTCTAAGCCTAGGACTTCCATATTCTACAATGCTTCAGGATTGCTTTTAAAGTCTAAAATGACTAATTAAACTCCAACCATGCACCAGCCAGGCAGGAAGAGGTGAGACTTAAAAATCAATACTACTTGAGCATTTCTTCTGTGTTAAGTAGTGAAGATTTCATAGAGAGCCAAATAGGCTTGCTCTTGCCTTCTTGAAGTTTAGAGCCTTCTAGAGGGATCAGATATTACAGACATAACCATACCTAAGCATACAATTACTAGTTTGGATTAATGCTATGGAAGTAAATTACTGATTACATGACAGAATAGTGGGGACTCTAATTTAGATGTGAAGGTGAGTGGCCTTTGGGCAGTGGGACAGCTGGGCTGCCAGTCAGCCATCTTTTCATGCTAACTAGAGAGAGACCTTTGCAGCCAGAGTTCACTGGCAATTGGGGTGCTTCTTCTTCAAATGTCTGAGAATAAGTTGCACTCGTTTTTATTTCAAGTCTAGCCCAGAAGAAGCCTGATGTTACCAACTGTGCAAAAAAGAAACCTTTGATGGTGAGTTCTATATTTCGGCCAAACCTTTGAGATATTATCCTGTAGGGTTGATTTTTAAATTTCCTTTCACGTTTCTCCTCCTCCTCCGTTCTTTACCTAATGAGCAAAATCTAAAGAAGAAAGTCCCTTTTTAGGAGCAATTACCAAACTTTTCTATTCTGAAGCTTTTTTCCCCCTGTAGAGACAATTGAGTGAATGATTGGATATCTCTAGAAATACTTGGTTAATTGAAGACTAAGTCTCAGCATGATGAGAGTAAAATGTCAATTAACCAGGAGTTATAAGACCTAGGTTCTGATTGTAATTCCACTATGTATTGGGCCTTGGATAAGTATTCCAAGATTGTTAAGTCTGTGATATTTGTGTCTTACTCTGTTTTATTCATTACTGACTCCCCAAGTCTAGCACTGTATTTGGCACATAAGTTGGCCCAGTAAATAATTGCTCATTTTTTGAGTGGATGTATCAGTAATCTGTCTGAGAAAAAGGACAAACGATCCTCATATTATCTGAAGATAACAATAAAATTGGTGTAGACAGGGGAAAAAACATGGTGACATTCACAGTTCAGAGAGCATGGGCTTCTGGAGTGGGCTTGGTAACAGAGTGTTGCTTATGGAAGGGATGCTGGCAGGATGAAGTGTTGTTGTGAAGAGATGATCTTGTAGAGAGGACTTCAAGAAGTTCTTTCCATTGTTTCTTTTCCAGGCAAATAAGACAGTTCTGGATTCCTTGGAAAAGCAGAATATGAGAACACAGCCAGAAAGTCAACACATCATAGTGCCTCCACCTTCCCCTGTACACTTGTTTGGACGGTTGAACAAGGACCCCAAACTTCCTTGGACCCAGAGTAACACATTGCCTAAGGCTCTACTGCAGGAGTAAGTACCATCTAAGTGCTGTAGGAGATCTAGAAGAGTCTAAGTGATGTTCTCAGAGTAGGAAGGAGAGAACACAGTACTTGTTTCTTGAGCTCTAGACTTAGCAGTACCCAGTAATGACAGTAATAATCATGACATCTATGAAGCCCTTACACACATGACATGTGTGCTCTGATTTAAACATCAATGGTAAAGCACACCTAAGAGAAAAGATCTGAAAAATGGCTTTTGGAATGGTTACAGCCTAGGAAGCTCTATGAGACAGTTTCCTGTTGTTATACAAGGTTGCTGTGAGTTGGAATTGCCTGAGTGGCACACAGTGGCAACAGAGGAGGCAGGTCCTATTACATTCCTCCTGTAGATGAGTTATGCATGCATGGGAGGCAGGATGAGTACTTTGAAAAAAGACAGTCTTCTCATTTACTCTTCACATTTACTGATTTTAGGAGTCTTGGTAGTTCACTAACCTCTTTAACCTTCTTTCCTTATTTTTAAAATGCTATAGTACCTGTTTGTCAGGGTGTTGTAAAGATTCAGTATTATAAAGGCACATGAGCCTGACATACAGTAATCAGTAAATAGCTGATTTTATAAGTGCTTTAGAAAAGTGTTAGAGAATTAAGTAGCTGTTAGTACAGACCTTTTCATACTTTTCACTTCCCTCTCCCTCTTTTTCAACTTTTAAGCTCTTTTTAGCTTTTCACAGGTGTGGCTTTTTCTCTTATTCTTTGGGAAACTTTTTAGGAGGGGCAAGTCCTTGGGAAAGGTTATTATGTTTGCAAAAGTAAAGGGTCAGCAAAGGAGAGAAAAACCGTTCAGGAGATGAACTGGCATGGTGGTCACAACAATGGGCGCGAGCACAGCAGCACAGATTGTCAGGATGTGCACGATGGAGCAGTTTTGTTCTATTGTACATGGGTTTGCTGTGACTTGGTACTGACTCGATGGCACCTAACTACAGCAACCACTAAACTACACTCTTCTAGAAGAACTGTTGCTTGACTGTCTCTGAACTATCTCTGTTCCCTTCAGCTTTTCGAAAGGTGAACAGAAAGCTGTGACTTCTTCAGATATGAAGATAGCATTGGCCATGATGAAAAAGAGCAGACCCTTAGAAAAGATCCGACCTGACAGTGCAATTTCTTCAAAGATGTTTTTATCTATACACCATCTCACACCGCAGGTAACATGGTTTCTAAGAGAATGATGTCTGTTGAAAAGCCAAATTCATTTCTCCTCAAGGTTTTAAGAGCTGAATTTCCATTCCTAATTTCTCTTCCTCACTTCCATTTTGGACCACAATGTTTGGGAAAGGTTTGAAAAGGACACTGTTATCTACACTAGTACACTAGAACTTTTCTTTTCTCTCCAGATACCAAGACTAAAACATCTTGAGGATTTAAGGAATTTGCATTTGACCCTGATAACAAAACCTTTATTTCCTCAGCCTGCTGCATCTCAAGGTACTGGTCTCATTCAGCCCATGTTTCTTCTCACTTTTTTTCCTCTGGGTTCCAATAAGTAGGGTTTGTAGTAAAAATTATACAGTAAACAACTCACTAGCTTGGACTTGATCAGAGATAGATGGAACACTAGTGGGACACAGCAAGCAGTTGTGGGGGAGGGAGGGAGGGAGCCATCAGTGACAAGAGAATTGACAAAGCTCTGTGGTTTCCAGGCCCCACGAAGCCACCCCAGCAGCAGCAGAAGAAGAAAGTGAGAATACTCACTAAAAAACAGGTAGAAAAAAACAAAAACAAAAACAAAACAAAAAAACCCCACAACAGGTAGAGTGGTTACCGGGAACTCCAGGGACTTTGTGGGACCAAAAGAAGTAGCTGCATCTTGGAATACCTGGGGAGGTATGAGAAGTGAGATATTCCTTGGCTTCTAAAGACATCACCCCAGTTTGGCTATAGACATTAATGTTTTTCAAAAAATCCTCTTCATTTCCAAGAGTCTTTAATTCAGTTCCTCTTTGTATGAGTTTCAGGAGGTTAAAGAGAAAACCAAGAGTGAACCAGAGAGTTGGAACACTTTAAATAAATTTATCGTCATTTATGACCCTTCTTCTGGTAAGGAGAATATGTATTTGGAAGTGTATGTGTTAGGGAAGAGTATTACATAGAATTGTTCCCACAATGTCAAAGGCAGGAAAATTTGTATTTTTTTCATTTTGGGAATCTGCCTTTTCAGGCAGTTTACCTTGGAATGCTTCAGTAGAGTGGCCTGCCATTTGTCATACTTCCATCAAGAATTTGCTAAGCAAGAAAGCTGGACCAGATACCTGTTTTGTGCAGGGATTTGGGTGACAATGAGCAGGAATCACAGACTCTCCCTTAGTAAATGTATGATGATCTGATATAAAAACAGGCTAAAGCTACAAAGAGAAGAGCCCTGAGAGCCCATTGGCCAATGAAGTGGGAAAGAGCTGTGAGTCTTCTCTAAGTCCTCAAAAGTTCTTACCCAGCCAAGTTTAAGGAAGGTCTGGCTTCCAGCCTCAAGTTAGGATCTCTGAACACTGAAGTTGAAGTCCGTACACTATCTGGCTTTAGCCTGGTAGCCAGTTTGACAGGCAGGCCTTTTTTTCTCTTGCACTCATGTTGAAGGTGGTAATTCTTGAATCCTTATTCATTCCTGAGCTGAGGAATAATATTGACCCTAGTTTCTCTGAGCAATGTCTTAGTCTGAGGGAAAAAAAAAATCTTCCTAGGTTAGAGAAATTTGGTCCACCCTACTCAGGTTAGACAGTATGGATTTTAATGTGAAAATAATTGTTTATTCAGTGTTTACACTCCATTCCTGGGGCAGTGAGAAAGTTAACCTTTCATCCTACTTGATATCTCTGGTTCCAGTGATGTCCTCTAACATAAAGGTATAAGAAGTTTCCAGCCCTTCATGTAGGACTGTGGCCCAGAGTAGGACTGGCTTGCCCACAGCTAGCACCTCACCATTTGCTTGGATACCTCTTCATGTTGCCTTAATGCTTTCCTTGGATGATTGAATGCCTCTTTGAGTTTCGTTCTTTGGACAGTAACCTGTCTAAATTGAGTTTTCTCCACTAGAAAGCTTTTTCAAGCCTTATGGAAGAAAGAATTAGCACTGGATTTTGAATATATGAGAATTTTCTAAATATGGAAGAAAATTCCTGGAAGTGGGAACAAGCTTTGCAAAAGCCCCATGTCTTGGAAGGGCATAGTTATCTACTTAGGAAAACTGAGCAGTTTGTTATGCTGTTGTCTGGTATTTAAGGGAGAATGATAGATTAGGCTAAAGAGAGACGTGGCTGTTGATGTTAGGTGCCCTCAAATCAACTATACCTCATAGCAACCTTATAAATAATGGCTCTGAACATTGCCCTATTTTGAGCCCACCTCACCAACTCTGATATATCTGACCCCATTGCCACAGTCATGGGGTCATTCCATCTCATGCAGGTCTTCCTCTTCTGCACTGACCTTCCACCTTTTCAATCATGATGTCCTTCTCCAAGGACTGGCCCCTCCTGACTGCATGCCCAAAGTATGGGAAATGGAATTTCAAAATCTTTGCCTCTAAGGAGCAATCTGGTTTCACTCTCTCCAGGTTAGACTTGTTTGTTCTCTTGGCAGTCCTTGGTATGCTCAGTAGTCTTCTCCAGTACTGCAACCCAAAGGCGTTAATTCTTCTTCTGTCATCATTTATTTATTGTCCCACTCTCAGCAAGCAATTGAAAAGATTGTGGTCTAGATTGTTGCTGTTATGTGACGTCGAGTTGCCTGCAACTCATAGCAACCCTATGGACAACAACTCTGAAGCCTGCCCTATCCTGAGCTAGTCTCACTGACTGAACACACTTACATCCATTGCCCTAGTTACTGTATCAAGCCATCTCATATGGGGTCTTCCTCTTCTGTGCTGCCTGGATTAGGTTCACTTTAGTTTCTAGAGTGACAATATTACTCATTAGCATTCTGGAGAGGTCCTTGACAGTACATTTACCCATGCACTTTTTTTTTTTAAATTTCTTGACTGCTGGTGCTAAGGATGTTGATTGTAGATCTGAGCAAGGTGAAATTGTTAACAACTTCATTCTTTTCTCCATCTATTATGATACTGCTGCCTATTGGCCTTGTGGTGAGGATTTTTGTTTAACATTGAGATGCAATCTATATTGAAGAGTATAGTACTTCATCTTCTGCAACAAATGCTATTAAGTCCTCCTCAGTTTTGGCAAGCCAGGTTGTATCCTCTACATAACATAGGTTATTGATTAGTCTTCACCAGTGCTGATACTACATTCTTCATGAAGTTCAGCTTCTGAAATGATCTGCTCAGCATGTATATTGGAAAGGTATGGAGAAAGGATACGTCCCTGATGCACTCCTTTCTTGATTTTGAACCGTACAATTTTCCCTTGCTCTGTTCAGACAACAGTTTCTTGGTGTAGGTGTAAGTTTTGCATGAGGACAATCAACTGTTCTGAGATTCCCATTCTTCTCAATGTTACCCACAATTTGTTGTGGTCTAAGCATTTAAATACTTTTGCATAGTCAATAAAATAAATAGACATCCTTCTTGTATTCTCTGCTTTCAGCCAAGGTATGAGCAATGATATCCTTATTTCCATAGCTTCTTTTAAACCCAGTTTGTATTTCTGGCAGTTCTCTGTCTGCGTACTGTTCTAGTAGCTTTTGACTAATCTTCAGCAGGATTTTGCTTACATGTGATATTGTTCAATAGTTCCCACATTCTGTTGGATAACCTTTTTTGGGGGGGGGGAATGGGGATAAATATGGATCCTTTCCAGTAGGGGCGTATATACTCAGGCTATATCCCAGACCAATTAAATAAAGAGTTTTTGCTGTTGGAACTCAGTCATTCTAGTGTACAGCTAAACTCTATATTACTGTCATTTAGAGATAAGAAATTAGCATGATATCTTTGGTGGCACATTGGAAGATTTTTGCTTAGAGAAAAGGAGAGTGAGAAAGGAAGAAAAAGAATGTATTTAGGAATTAATTGGAGAAACAGCTGATGCAGAAGAAACAAGATTTTTTTTTAATGCCAAGGAGATAGAAAGAACTCAAAAGAATGCGAATTGAGTCTTGATTTTTGTTCTGAGGAGTTAATGAATAATGCCTTAAATTGATAAAAAGCAATAGTGTTATAAGAGTATTGCGTAGATTTCTGGAGATAATCACCAGATGTAAAACAAAAATTAAGCTTCCTGTAGAAGTAGGGACAGGGTTAGAGGACTGTTTCATTTTGTTATAAATTCTTAGTCCTATTTTAGTTTTTCTTATTTGAATGTATTATTTTGTCATACATTTGAAAGAGAAAATGTGAAACAACAACAAAAATATAATTAGAGCTTTTCTTTGTTTTTTTTTAGAGCCCAATGTGAGTACATTAGAGAAGGCAGAAGAAAGCCAATCACAGTTTGGTAAGAGCCATATTCATAAGTTGAAAAGGTAGGGTTAGAACTTTTTTTGTTATTATAATGTGTAGGTATCGTCCTGTAGGCTTCTTGAAGGAATTCTGGGTCTTTTAACGCACATATTTTCTTAATCACTGACTTTATAGTAGATTTAGTCACAGTTCTTGGTGAATAGAATCACTAAGAGAACGCAGAAGACCTCACTCCTTATCACCTGCCACCAAAGTTCATTTGTGTCCTAGAGATGAGACAAGTCATTTGAGGACTAGGGGTTATTTAGAAGACTAAAATGGCTTAGGAAATGCTAAGGACAAGAAGAGGATTGAATTGATTTTGTTGCCACTAGGTCACAGGACTCTGCCAGATGAGGAGAGTGATATGAAGCAGCAGCAGCCAAAAGAGATAGGAGGATCTGCCTTGAAACAGGTGAGAGTATATATAACAGGCCTGTGCTGCTAAGGCTCTGCTTAAGTTAATTATTGTGATATAACACACTATCCCAAAGCCTAAACCACATTGACTTGTTACTTCTTATGATTTCATATATTGCATGAACAGCTATTCTGGTCTATCAAAAGATCATTCATGCAGTTGCATTTGGCTAGAGGGTGGGCTGGTTAGGTTCTACTGGTTTTCTTCCATGTGGTTAATTTGGACTTCTTGACAGCATAACCTATAACCTATTGCTTGTTGAGTTAGTTCTGACTTAATAGTTATGCTACAGGATAGTGTCCAGCTGTCTCCGTAGTGTTTCTTAGGGTACCAGTCATATCTTACATCCATGGAGTGACTGGTGTGTTTGACCTGCTGACTTTTCAGTTAATAGCTAAGTGCTTAATCACTTCTACCAGAACTAATGTCTTTTTTTTTAAAAAAAAATGGGTAAAATCAGAGTGGTTTTTATTTTTTTATCCCCCTCTTTTTAATTGGGATTTTAACAAAAGTTTACAGAAAGGTTGGATTTTCATTCATTTGTTGTTGCACATTTTCCTCCTTCCTTCTCTCCCTCTCTCTCTCAGTCCCCTGTGCAGTGCACCTCATATTCAAGATTGTTGTCATACATATAATGCCTAATCATACATTCATTTCAGACAATTCTTTCATCTGTTCCGGTGTGGTGTTAATTATCCATCTATACCTGTTCTCCCCCCCACTTGCCTGTCAGTCCGATTTTATAAGATCAGTGTTATACAGTATTTGTCCTTTTGTGGCTGAGATTTTTCACTCAGCGTAATGTCCTCCAGGTCCCCCATGCTGTGTAATGTTTTATGAAATCATTGTTTTTCAAGGCTGTGTAATATTCCATTGTGTAGATGTAGCAAGGTTTTTCTATCCATTTGTTGATGGGTACTTGGGCTGCTTCCATGTTTTTGCCATTGGGCATAACACAACAATAAAAAAAATTAGTGTGCATACATCTGTTTGAGTTGTGACTCTGGTTTCTTTCTAGTATATTTCCAGTAGTGGAATTGCTGGGTCAAATGGTAATTATGTTTCCAATTTTTTAAAAATTTTTTAAATTTTATTTCATTATTTTTTGTGTGTACCGTCAAATCAGATCTGACTGGTACAGGAGGAGATTGTTCCTCCTTCTCCAGCAGAGCATCCAATTTTTTTAAATTATTATTAAATTTTATTAGTTTTAATGAACATTTACAGGGATTTTGGGTTTTCATTCCTTCATTGTTGCACTATATTTCCAATTTTTTGAGAAAGCATCAGACTACCTTCAGTGATGGTTGTACCATTTTACATTCCTACCAGCAGTGAATAAGACAGAACTAATTTTTTTTTTGTATTTTTTAATATTGCAAAGATTTTATTTGAATTTTTTTTCTTTATTGCACAATTCCTTCTTTCCTCCTTTGTCCCAAGCTCTCCCTGTAATGCACCCCTTGTTCCAGATTGTTGTCATATATATATAATGCCTAATCATATATTCCCATTAGATAGTTTAGTTTTTCCACTCATCTGATCTAATGCAGTGTTTATTATTTATCCACTCTTTTTCCATTCTCTCCCCTCCCTCCCATATCTGTCCTATTTTATAATAGCAGTGTTATGCAGTATTTGTCCTTTTGTGACTGAGATATTTCACTCAACATAGTGCCCTTCAGGCTCTCTCATGTTGTGTAATGCTTTATTAGTCCATTTTTTCCTCAATGCTGTATAATATTCCATTATGTGAATGTAGTTTTTCTATTGTTTATTGATGAACACTTGCATTTCTTCCATCTCTTTGTTATTGTGAATAATGCAGCAATAAACATGAGTGTGCATACTTCTGTTTGAGTTGTGGCTCTGGTTTACTTGGGATATATTACCAGTAGTGGAATTGCTGGGTCAAATAATATATTTATTTCTAGCCTTTTGAGAAAGTGCCAGACCTGTCTTCCATAGTGGCTGTACCGTTTTACATTCCCACCAGCAGTCAATCTCTCCAGAACCTTGCCAGCATTTGTTGTTTGCTGCTTTGTTGAACTTTTGTTGCTGGGGTGAGATGATATCTCATAGTTGTTTTGATTTGCATCTCTCTGATAGCTAAAGATTTTGAACATTTCTTCATGTGCTTGTTTGACATCTGAATGTCTTCTTTAGTGAAGTGTCTATTCATGTCCTGTGCCTCTTTTGCTATTGGGTGGTTTACCTTTATCTTGTTGAGGTCTCATTTCTTGACAACATGTGGTTATGTGCTATTATGTCAGAACTAACTTAGTTGACCCTCAAGTGGGTTTTCAGAGGCTATAAATTGCAAGGGAGGAGATTGCCTGTCTTTCTTCCTTGGAGCAGCTGGTGGATTCGAACTACTTGTCTTAGGGTTGGCAGTACAATGCCTTGTCCACTAGGCCATCAGCGCTCCCTGCTTAGTGATCTCAAAAACAATGAAATCACTTTCATAAAGGGTAAGCATGAACTGACCCATTGTCACTTCTGCGATATTTTACTGGCCCAAGGAGTCACAAGGCCAGCCCAAAATCAAGAGAAAGAGACAAAAGTTTTACCTTTCATAGAAAGAATACCATACAAGAATGGGCGGCATTGTTGCCAACTTGCCAATTCATTACTCAAATGAATTTCAGGATGCCACAGAGAATCCAGAGAAGGCCTACCCTGAGAACTGTCTAGGTTCATTCCCCAAGCACAGGAGTAAGTTATGTGGGTGAAAGAGCCCCGGTGAGTGACTGAGGGCACAGTCCTCAGAATTCAGAGCCCTTCCTTTCTTACTTCTGTCCCCAGTTTCTCCAAATTTGGGAGAAGATAAACTCTCTTTATCATTATCATCAAGTTGGAAGTGACTCATAGCTAACCCTCCAACAAGTGTGTTGTTGTTGTTGTTATGTGCCGTCGAGTCACTTGCGACTCATAGCGACCCTGTTTACAAGAGCCCTAAATATTGTTCTGTCCTGTGCCAGTAGCGCTGCCTCTGACACACCCATCCCAATTACCCTAGTCACTGAATCTATCCACCTCATAGAGGGTCTTCCCCTCTTGCGCCATCCCTCCACCCTCCCAAGCAAGTGTGTAGAGGCTGTATATTGCACAGGAGAATATTGCCCATCTTTTTTGCTTAGGAGCGGCTGGTGGATTTGAACCACCTACTTTTGGGTTGGCAACTCTCTGCGACTAGTCTTCATTAATGGTTGGGTCTTCTTTTAGGTGCTGAATTAGTGAATGCGGAGTCCATTAAGCAGGATATCAGTGCTCAGGTGGAGCTTGGCCTGGAATTTCAGACCTTCAGTGAAGAGGAGGAGATTCCCACGAACTTTTCAGCCAGGGCAGCTGGAATCCCCTGGAAGCCTGAGCTCAAACTTCTGAGGCTTCTTCAGGACAGTGACTATGAACATATGGAGAATCAGTCCTCCAGGACACCCAGTGAAGAGTCTGTGGGGTCACAGACTGAAGACATGGCCTGCGGCAACCAGAACACATAGTCTTTAGGACAGGAGTCTTTCATGTACAGGACAGAAAGGACAGGGAACTTCGGCTTTCTGGAGACTTTACCAAGGACTGAATTTAGGAATTCTGTTTTCTTTCTTCATTCTACTTGCTTATGAAGGAAGTGATAGAGAAAAAGCCTTCCCCCTTTTAAATTTAGGCGATTTCTCTTCCATTAGGACCAGAACAAATCTAGTGATTAAACACAACTGCTTTTCAGTTTAAAGATTCATTTTGTGCTCCTGGAAAGAGGGGAGATATCTTTTTTTTGTTTTACTGTATCAATTTATTTCCTTTCTGAGGTCTGAAAAGTTAGTAGTCTAGTCTATAAGAACCTGAATTTGGTCTATAAAAACTCCTGCCGTGTTTCCTAGTTTTTTCTCTCATTTCCTGGAAATAGTTTTCTCTGGGATAAGACCCATGTTGTTCTCACATAGTATTCCCTGTGTCCTTAGCCATGTGGTACTGGACTTCTTCTTATAAGAGTCTAAAGCTCCAGTTTCTAAGGAAATGAATGAGTCTGCAGGAAAATTTCACTGATGCTCATAAAGGCTCAGTTTTAAAATTTCAGGAGACCATGAGCTGTTTTTGGAAAGATTTATTTTTTTCATGTTTTAGAATTAAAAAGGGAGCTCTGAAAGCCAAGTGGCAAGAAGCTGAGCTGCAATCTCAAGGAATTGCTGTTTGAGGCCGCCAACTGCTCCATAGGAGGATGGGCATTCTCCTCCTTTGTGATTAGCTGTCTTTGAAAACTCACTGGAGGCTCTGCTATGGGTCAGCTCTGACTCTATGGTACACAACAACAAACAACAGAATCAAAGACGCTCTTTTTATTATATGAAATTTAAAAATGATATGAATATATCACTCATTCACACTTATTCATTTTTGTTGAGTCAGAACCAATTTATAGCTGACCCTCCAGTGGGTCTTCAGAGGCTGTAAATCACACGGGAAGAGGCTGCCCATCTTTCTCCCTTGGAGAAGCTTGTAGATTCAAACCGCCAGAGAAGCACCACCACTAGGTTAGCAGTGTAACTCTCTTCCCAGTAGGCCACAAGGCTCCCTCATAAAAGTATAGGAGAGGGAGGGGTTTGTGCGGGGAGAAGGGTGCAACAATGAATGAATGGAATCAAAAAATCTCTGTAGATGTTCATTGAAATGAAAAATAAACAACCTAAATTAAAAAAAAAATAAAAGTATAGGAGATAATAAATGAAACCCTTATGAACCAAGTGCCACTCTTTGATATGGTCCAGAAAGATCTTTGGTCTAACTCTTGCTCTGGCCCTTTCCTGGCCATATTCCAGAAAGAGGTGTATGCAGGGCCAAGGAAATGCTGAGCAGCCAGTGTCTCCCCTGTAAGACCTGGCTCCTGGTATCAGGAACCCTGGAGTTCTTGGCCCAAAGGGCTTTAAGCTGACATTCCAGGGCCTGCATGAGACTCTTCCCTGGGACCATGCTCCCCAGAGTGAACTGTGCCACCCATGTGTGCACCGCTGGACCTGAGATGGTTAAAATGAGACTGTTTAGAAGGTGATGTGTCCAAAGCTTGAACATATTAGTTGGAGTGTCTGCATGTGGCCTTTCCTAGTAAGGGGAAGCTTGAGGTAAGAGAAGGCTAAGCCATGAACCTGGTATCAGATGTGGAACTGCAAAGAATCAGTAAATTCTGAATCTAAACCTGGACTTTTATGTGTATTTTTTTTCAAAGTAGGAGGAAAGAATATGCCTAATTTAATAATTTCTGAGTTTGTTTATAATTTTTAAATATGTAAATATTAATACTTGTGAACCTAGTGGATCCTGCCAAAGTTAGGGCTGGGCAGTCCCACTGTTAGGTGGCTATCCTAAAGAAATGAGAGCTAGGGCACAAATCAGTATAAGCATACCCAAGTTTACTGCAGTATTATTTACAATAGCTGCGAAATGAAAATAGAGCCCTGGTGGCTTAGTGGTTAGGAATTACACTGCTTACCTAAAGGCTGTAGGTTTGAATCTTCCTGGATGCTTTGTAGGAGAAAGATGGGCAGTCTCTTCACTTGTGACTTACTGCTTCTGAAAACCTGCTGGAGGATCAGCTATGAGTCTATTCTAACAGAATGTTACATACAACAAGAGATGGAAACAACCCCAGTGTCCATCAGCAGAGGGATAGTTAAAGAGAACGGTACATTTACACAGTGGGATTTCATACAGAATAATAAAGAATTATTTTTTTTATAATTTTTCTTTTATTATTTTTGTGTGTGTACCATCAAATCAGATCCAACTGGTACAGTAAAGAATTCTTAAAACACTGCATGACGTGGATGATGAGAGGAAATTATGGTGAGAGACATAAATTAGTCATGAAAAGGTAAGTATTGCATAAGTTCACTATTATAAAAAGCCAAGAAAAGATTTACACACAGATAGAATCATACTTGGATGGTTACCACAAATGGGACAGGAGGAGGTGAGTAAAACAGATAAACTGGATGAAGACAAAGGCAATATACAAGAAGGTGTTGATTAAACATTGTACTTAATGAAATTAATTGTAATCTAAGTTCTAAAACAAAATTTTATTGAATGGAAAAACCAATATGATTTATAAACGTTAATTTAAATCGCAATAAAAGAAAAAAAGATTTTGAAAAGGTTAAGGCTGGGCCTGTGGTTACCTGACATTTGGGAGGAGTTTTAAGTGGATAGAGTTTAACTTCCTGAGTAGGAGAATGAGGTCCAGAGAGGGGATATACTTTATCTGAGATAATCAGCTAGGAAGTGGTGGATCTGAGTTTCATGGGTCTCCTGGCCTCAGGGCAGAGTTCTTTTCATCAACGATTCCAGTCTGTCTTTGGATTCATTCTCTAGAAGCCATGTTAGATTACTGGGAATAATGTTTAATCTCCAATATAATTTCCTTCCTTTATCTTGTGGTGAAATTCTTTGTTATACAATCCTTTCTACAAGTCTACTCCACTATGCTGCCTTCATTCTGGACTCCTGTCAATAATACCTAATCATATATCCTTTTTAAACAGTTCTCTGCCTCATCTGTTTCAATGCAGTGTACGTTATTTATCCTCTCTTTTCTCAGTCTCTTCCCCAACCCTGATGTCAGTCCTCTTTTATAACAGTGGCACCATGCAGTATTTGTCTTTTTGTGACTGAGATATTTCACTCAGCATAAAATCCTCCAGGGTCACCAATTTTTTATAATATTTCATGAGTTCCTTGCTTTTCAATGCAGCATATATATGAATATGGTATTGTTTTACTTACTTCCTTTCCAGAGTTCTCTTTTTATTACTGTACAGGACCCTGACTAGTTTCTATGCATTGATCTCATACCCTTTGTTGGTCAAGTAGAAAATGAGTAATTTTCCTAGGCGTGGAGGTCCTGGATTTAGTTCTGTGGGCTGGCCAACCAGCCTAGCTCTGTCTCATACTGGTCTCCGGTTCTCTGCCATTGTTGCCACTTCTGCTGTTGTTGCTATTATCTGGGCTGCCATTACATCATTTCTTAGTCTTGTTCCATCACTAGCAGGAATATCTGGCCCAAATGATGCGTTGTACTTCTGACGCTTCTTTCTTGAAGATAGTGAAATTCCTATTTTCTGCCTCTGGCCTGCTCAGGTTAAGCCTGGCAGGATGGCAAACTGACCAGCCCCACATTAGCGTTCAATATATCTTGTGTATTCCCATCCAGAAAACCCTCAACTGGCTGGATTTCTGTGGTGACTGCTCCAGTGGGCTCTCGTGTGTCAGGAAGTGTGGGGATAGTACACGATAGAACAGGGTTCACATCTTTTGTTTGAAGTGGTACTTGACTCGATAGCACCTAACAATGACAACATCCAAAAGGTGCCATTTACGTCCTTTACAATATTAGCAAGCTTTCTAATCCCTTTGGCAAACATCTAACATTTGCATAATCCACCTAGTTGTATGGTGAGGGCTATAACTGATAATGGCTATAAAAGTTATATTGAAGGGAACTCTAATGGCCTGGTGACAAGAGGCTATGCTATAATCCTGAAGGTATGTGGTTCGAATCCTCCAGATGTCAGTGAGATCTGACTCAGCAGTACACAACAACAACAAAACAAACCAAAACCAAATGAAAACAAAACAAAGCAAAATAAAATAAAAGTGATATTGAATAATCTACTACATACTACAGCACAATGATGTAAGTAAGGGTCTAATTTTATTCTTTTTTTTTTAAATTTTATTCTTTTGCATATGGCTATCCAGTTGCTATCAACTATTTGTTGAAAAGACTGTTCTTTCCCCGTTAAATGTTCTTGTAAAAAACCCAATTATCCTTATGTGAACTTATTTTTGATCTGTCAGTTTTACCTAGATGCCTATACTTGTGCCAGTACCAGTACTGCACTATCTTGATTACTGCTGCTTTGTAGTAAGTTTTGAAGTCAGAGAGTGAAATAATTTTCTTCTTGATAGGTTTGGCCCTTCTGGGTCCCCTCAAAATTCTATATGAATTTTAAGATTAATTTGTCATTTTCTACAAAGAAGCCAGCTGACATTCTTGAAGGGCTTGTGTTGAAGCTACAGTTCAATTTGGAGACTGTTGCCATCTTAGCAACACTGAGTGATCCATCCATGCAGAGTGCTTTTCTGTTTATTTGGATCTTCTCTGATTTTTAAAAATACTGTTTTGTGGTTTTCAGAGTAATAGTTTTAGACTTCTATTGCAAACTTTATTCCTAAATATTTTGTTTCAAAAATGTCTTCCCATACCTTCCACTATTCATTTGTTTTCCTTTACTTTTGTTGTTTTTCAGAACACCCTTAGGCTTAAAGGTTGTAATTTAACTCAATACCTTTAGAATGTGTGTGTGTGTGTGTGTGTGTGTGTGTATGAAGGAGAGGAGAGATGATTGGGAGATTTCTGTGTGACCTAAGGAGCCCGGCTGATATAGTGTGTTAAATGTTGGGGTGCTAATCAAAAGGTTGGCTCTTCAAATCCACTAGCCTCTCCATG